TAATATTACGATCTCGCCTGACTACAAATCTAGGGACATATTTAAAGATAAAGTTATGGTGTTTATGTCATCTACCCAGTTGCGCGTCAAAAAATATGATTGAATGTCCCAAATGTCTTAAATGGTTCCACAAACCATGTGTAGGACTTGAAGATATTGACAAAGACATCGATAACTTTTATTGTCACAATTGTCGTGAGTCTCCTAACATATAAACCATTTTCATATATTATTATTTTGTGATAGAATATGTAGATTCAAACATGCTAGAAAATATCTTGTAGTGAAGAATACATTATCAATACGCATATATGCGATTTGTGTTGCTATCCTTCTTAGTGATGAAAACAACTGCTCGCAAATTTGTGAGTTTAGCTTTTTCATCTCGTCAGTCTGAATTGATCTCAAAGAATAAGAGGGATTGCACTTGTGGTTTGTAGAATGGAATCGATCAATCAGAAATGTTGTGTTACGAAATACTTTGGGGTCCCTATATAAAAAATCACGAATTAATTTCTATTTGAAATCTCGATTATTTATCATTTATACCCAATTTGTTATGTGCACTTACCTTTTCATACATGTTTTGTGTAAGTTGCAAGCATTATCGTAGATGATCACTTTTGGCTGTTCTCTGAATATGGTCATTAACAAATTATAAATTACAACTGTAGATTCGTGTTGTCTGAGGATTTGGAAACCATAACAAATCCTGTGCTTACAAGCGATTGCTACTATTCCGGGGGAAAACCTTTTGTGAGTTGGAAACTTTTGAGACACGGTTCAGCTGACTCAACTTCTGGATTTTCGTATACTGGCAACCTGTACAATTATAGTAGAATGGTAAAATATAAAAAAAGTTGAATAGCATTTAGTATTTTCAGTATAAACACAATTACAAGTTTGAACTTACATGTAGTTTGTTGTGAATGCTGGGAAATAATTGTAGTAGTTTTCGCTTTGTGGAGAATATTCCACTAATTTTCTTGACGTTCTACTAAATAAACTCTCTATTTGTGTCAGGATTCTTTTCAACAGCGGGAAAACTTTGGGATGTAAAGTGACAAACCCTGTGCATGTGATATCTTTATTAGGTTTGATAGAATTGAATAAGATATCCAATGTATACATCTTCTGATATATTGAATTAAAGGAATCTTCACTTGCTGATTTTCCATTGGCAAGAAGAGCTATTGCTTTTCGTTCATTCGGTCCAGCAGAGAGAATTGGAATACTCCTGATATTGGATCTGTATGGCAAAGGAGTTTTATGACTTTCTTAACGTGTATATATTCTTCACTTATAGTCACTAAATTTTCTGTCCTAATGGAACTAAATAAAATATAATCAGCCATTTCTTTATGAATAGACTTCAATAGGTCTTTTAGCGTATTTTCTGTCAAACCTTCAGAACAGAATTTAAGGAGTTGCTTTCTAATTGCTGTGTCGGGGATAAAAACACGATCTGAAAATGGGATCATAGGGTATTGCTGATCCTGATCGAATTTTGCATCCACTTCTGGTACTGATTTCATTGTTCCCATCGCTATGCCATCTAAAATTATCACATCGGGATGATTTTTACACTTTGGACATATGTAGTTCGAGTCATAATCTATGTCTACTGTTCTCAGATAGGCGTTCCATGCCTGATAAACAATGTGATAATGGAATGTATTCGTTCTACCCATTCTGATAAGCTTCCTGTTCTTGGCACTAAAGAGTAAAACGAAGAATTAGATTGTATGTATATAGGAATTTTAATTTATCAAGAATATTATTTTAAACAATACATACCTCAAGTAACCGTACAAAGTATTTCTAGACATGGTCATCAACTCGCTATAATCATATAACAAACTGTAATGAACAAAATACTTGTTGTTGATGTTTAACAGTAAACTGTTCTGACCTTCGAAGACTGCCAAGCAATTGCAAAGTCCACTGCATCTTGAACTGTAAACTATATACTTACAATATAATTACTGAGTTACCAAGCACAGGCAAATTTAGGGAGGAGGTAAATTAGGACGAGTTGATTGCAATCGAATGAACAATCTTATATGAGACCAAATATTTATTGAAATTCCTTTATAATTGCAAAGACTTGTTTTCAACGGCTAAATACGTAGAATAACCGATCATACTAAATTAAAATTGCGACCGAGCGAATGGTTCATTGATGATAAATATATACCTTTGTAATCTTTGAATTCATTAATATCATTTTCTAAATAGATAACTATTCCAACCTTCTCTAGTTTAAGCTTCTCCTCTTCATTGAATTTGAAACCATAGTCACAAAATTCCTTTTCAGGATACATATTTAAAGGTAAATTGATGCCATGGAAGAGCTGATAGTTGTAAATTGCTATTTGGCTTTCATCTAGATTGAATGGTATTGCTCTTGTTGATATCGTGTTATATTCAAACTTTTTCTGTGTATTTGATCCAGTATTTTCGAGAATATTATGGAGTCTAGAATGTTGTTTGCACTTTGAAGAACAAGAACAACATAACCACCTATCATTATTTAATTGGAAGTTGTGAAAAGTATCATCTGTCAACAGAAAGATATCGTTAGGACTTGGGAAATAATATATTATGTCTTCTAGAATGTTTGCTTCACAAACTTGCAAACAATCATTTTGTGAACAGAGTTCAAATGCTTGATAATGAGAACAAGTATCACTATAACAATTAGCGCATAGATTGCTGTTTGTTTCAATTATGATTCTCCTTTTGTTTAGTACAACGGTTCCTTGAAATACAAAATGTTTAGTTATGGTAGTGAGAATAGTAAATGTACAGTAGACTCCGATTAATAGGGTCACTTGGGACCAGGCCATTTGACCCGATTAACCGAAATAAAGTGTTGGGCCCTACGAACCGGAGCAGAGAGACAAACATGCAAACAGACAACAATAATAGCGATAATAACGTAAATTTACCTTGAGAGTAATCATAATCTGCAATTATAACATATTCACTATCCTCTAACTTATGTATGTGAGACTTCAATATCAATAGTTTTACATACTGGTCAATTATAGGCATTTCTACTTGTTTCATTTCTGGTTCTGAGAAGCAATCAGGTTGACACTGATCTATGCGAAATATTATATTGAATCAACAAGCAACTAAAGTTTGCTTGAAAGCATAAGGAATTAAGAATATAATTATCACCTGGTTTTGACCATGTTGGTACATCTGATTCTATCAATTTAAATGATTCCCCCTCTGATAGGCATACTTTGTCGATGTCTAATGTGATGAAGCTGATATCTTCTTTCTCCGAGATTTTTCGTTTTTTTGGGTATATATTATCAGATCCAGTTTGTGAAGTTACTTTTTCAGCCATTTCCAAAATGAAATTATCTAACGAATGGTATAAATTTATATATCTACTTCTATACATTATAAATGCACCAGCATTCCAATGACCACTTGTCGTAATGTGGTTTCGAAACTTATCTAATCACATTCAATTCAGCAGTTTGGGTAACTATGGTTGAAATGATAACGCGTATCTATAAATATGACATGCCAATAATCCTAATGCAGCGGATGCGCTACTCAAAATGCAGCGCATGCGCTACTCAAAATGCAGCGCATGCGCTACTCATTTTTAAATATATGATACAATACAATACAATACAATACAATCTATAACCGATACCTGAGGCCGAGATGGCACCTCAAGGTGTTCATAAAAGAGTTAGTTCTCTTACCTCCACTGTTCTCATTTGTCCTCTCGGGCACAGGTGTTATGCGGATAGAATCTCTCACGCCCAGGTGTAGGCCGACCTGATTATCCCTAATGTTCCCTGTAAAGCAATCTTCTGTAACAGTGCTAGCGTGTACTTGGTAATATTTAGATCCACTGTTGCATATATGTTCGCAGGCGGCCATCCGGAACAATTGTCCGGTACCTGGTAACTAGTGTCCTGGGTTAGACCCTGTCAAAATGTGGGAAAACTGATAAAAGAAAGAAAGTCTTAACCTACCCATGTGTACATCAAATGACTTTCTTTACTTACCTGTTAAGTTGGGAGGACTTGAACTTCAGAACCTGGCGGAGAGAATAGTAAATGAATAGAATAGCAATGACTGAGAGATTGCAATCTTGTACACACGCCTCAGATGCTATCATTACGGATACGACTGCCTGGATGAGATCACTTGTATACCTGAAGGGCAAAATGGTTTTAATTATAGATAGTGCAATACCTTACTATGATAGTCTGAGTCGATTTAATAATGCTGTAAAAGGAAAGGTTGAGTACGATAGGAGTAAGGGGGGGTGAATAGGTGGACTATTGCCTGATAATGTGGTTTAAACTATATGGTTTTAGTAATAGGAGCTCGTGGAGGAAGATTCCATCATCTTAAGTCGACTACTAATGGTGGGTGTTAATAAGATGTGGCCGAATAGCTTTATGAGTGTGCGTACTGTAGTGACAGAAACAGCTAAACAGAAAGGGTTTAGAGTAGACAACTCGATATATGTCTTGAAATTCTGGGTGTAAACTTTGTACATCTAAAGGCTGAGAGGTAGTGGGATCCTCCGTTCCAGTTCGCTCGATCACTCCACCCGTGAAGAAGAAGCACTTCGGAATCTTCAATATTCGTCAAATAGACTAAGTGCGACAGACCAAAATAGACGCACGCATGAGGCAAGTGAATGCCTAACAGTAAACAAAGGTTTACCGGGGTGCTGTGTCGAGTCTCTGTAAGTGTAATTGAGAAGATTTGTATAAGTATTAGTAAACCTAAACCCAGTCGGATTAATCTCTCTCCAGCCATGGAAGAATCCCTCAATAACTCCTC